TCTACATTTTTGTAAAAGATGTAGGTATCCTAAACTCAAAACTAGTAATCCCCAAGGAGGCTAAATTTAGTATCATTTGAAAGAGAAATCAATTTACTTTCATGTAAAATTAGCTTATAATACACGCCTTTCAACGGTTTTTAAGTTATGTCAATTTAATTTTACATCACATTCAGATTTTCCGACAATTATCTTAGGACTTCACGGATATAAGAGCTGAGAGAGTTTTAGAAATCCTAGTCAAAAATTAATATTGTTTGACAATGCTTCATCTAATCAAAATTCCAGATAATATTACTACTAATAATACAACTAGTGTAAATAAAGCAATTGAAATGAAGATGAAAGAAATCCTAGTCCAAAATGAATAATGCTTGACAAGGCTTCATCTAATCAAAATTGCAGATAATACTACTACTACTAATACTACTAGTGTAAATAAAGCAATTGAAATGAAGATGAAAGAAATCCTAGTCCAAAAGGAAGAATGCTTGACAATGCTTAATCTAGTCAAAATGGCAGAGAATATTACTACTAATAATACTAGTAAGTGAAGATGAACGAAATACTAGTGGAAGATTAATAATGTTTGACCATCATCTAATACCCTATTAAAATAACTTTTCCAGTAATCAGAAATATTGTTAGCGTAAATAAAGCAAGTCAAATTAAGAAATACATACAAGTTAAAAATCACTGACTAATAAAACCTCATTTTTATAATACATTATTGATATGCTGATTACAGTCAGAATAATTCAAGAATATATATTTTTCATAAAAATTTCGCCAACTTATTCTCATCCAATTTCAAAGTTCATAAAATTTCAAACATCGGATTTGTCGCATCTTTCTTATATTGGTACCTCGACAAATTCGCTAAAACTTGTGCATACCATGCTAAAAAAATGCCCCACGTTTAATAAAAAAAGAGTTATATCGTTAAAATCTTTGTTATTATTAAGAGGAATGGCCAAAGGCTATCTTGATTATTAAATTATCTTTTTATCTCTTTTAAAACAATCAAAATTTTGGTTAAAAATGTTTTTCTTGCGTCGGTAAGGGGGGGTGTAACAAAAATCAGTGTAGGAAATATCAGCGTTTTTTTTTTTTTTTTTACATATTTGGAAATTCTAGCAAAAATCAAATAACTGTCGGATTTTAATGAAAATTCCTGGACTTATTTACAAATGAAATTATTTTAGAAATCTTTTAGAAAATCTTGGTAATTTTTTTTTCTTAAATCTGTTAACCTCTACCCCTTATTAATTTTATGAAATTTCGAGTAATTAACTTTTGAACCGTTTAGTCTATATACGCAGAACTCTATGGAGAATCTAAATCAATTTATTTTTGTCAAACAGGACCAGTAACCAAAAATCTGATCTGGCTGTTATCTAATGAATTGTAGTGGGTTAGCAAATTTGTATCAGGGACAAAATACAAATTAAACTGGCCCTCTATTATTTTTACAAAATCAAATGCAACAAAGACGACGAGGAGAGAAATAATCAAATAGGCAAATATTTGCTTTTACAGAAAAATATTTTTATGTAACAACAATTACAAACGATATAATAAAGTTGTTTAAAACCCTTTAGAGTTCTTGGTTGTGTGATAAAGGGTAATATAAAAAGGTGTTATGCTGCAGATCTGGTAAGGAATTAAACAGTTTATGCTGATGGTGAAATTGAATGAAATAGATTCCTTGACTTACTGTAGAGTTGTCTCGCTTGCGGGGAAATCTGTCCCGGCTTTCCCGCGTCCAAGGGTTGAGGTTAAAAAATTGGGACAAAACGCGAGTAAAAAAAAAAAAAAACAGCAAGCTTAGAGAGGACAAACTCTCTCTTTTAGGCGCGAACGAATAAAGAAAAAAAAACTCCTGCTCGGTGGGTAACAATAAAAGAAGAAAGTGTTTATTTACATATACAGAAAAAAATGGGTAAAGGGATAAAGAAAATTAAGAGTGAAAGAAAGAGAAAATGTCCTTTAAAGGAAGAGAAAATGTTCATAACAGAAAAAAAGGCTTGCTCAAAATATTTCTCTGAGCACCTAAAGTTCTTTAAGCGAGTAGATTTTGTTAAGGTTTAGAAACACTCACAATTCTTGTAGAGTAGGAAAATTGTTGGTAGATATAGGAATCTTACAATTGAGTGAGTTTGTAGGTCGTCGACAGAAGTTCAGTGGGCACAACAGAAGGAGAGTTGAAGGGATGCAGCCTTGAATTGGTCTTGAATTGTGGGCCCACGTTCGTTCTTGACAGCCCTTTAGTAGGTAGTTCTTCTTTGGTTAAAAGTGGTTCTGAAGTTGACTGGAGATCCCTATCGTCGACCTCACAGACAGCGGGCTGAAGTCTCTCCGCCAAATAGGCAAAAAAATTCTCCAAATTTATGGAGATTTGGTAGGCTCCGAAGAATCGGAGACTTTTCCCTCCAAAATTGTTGAATAAATTTCCTGACCCCTTCATTAGTCAAAAAAATATATTCTTACCTCTGATAAGAATCAGGGCTTTGGGAGCCGGTTTTGAAAGTAATGAAAACAGGTTGGAGTGAACAGGCTGTAAAGTTTCCCCCAGATTTTATGGCACCATGGAAAGAATAATGGTGGTGGAAATCCTTTTTATATTTTCCAGCTCTATTGTTAGTCAGAAAATATATTCTTATCTCTGATAAGAATCAAGGCTTTGGGAGCCGGTTTTGAAAGTAAAAAGCGGTTGGAGTAAGGATAGAAAAAATAGCGAGAATGTGAACGTGTAAAATATTGTTCTCAAATTAAATTCCAACACGCTTCGACTGATATAGTTACGATTTCCTTTATTTTGGTAAGATATTGAGTGAGTAGGTTTCTGAATCTTGTCTTGGTTGAATTCGTCACTATTTAATTTGCATGCAAAGTTATAATAATTTTTTGTTCTTGTCTTACTCCCGGTTTTTATGTTGATGATAACACCTTTTATATTACCCTTGATCACATAACCAAGAACTCTAAAATGTTTTAAACAACTATAGATCTAGTAAGGAATTAAGCAGTTTATGTTTATGGTGAAATTGAATGAAATAGATTGCTTGACTTACTGTAGAGTTGTCTCGCTTCGACTGATATAGTTACGATTTCCTTTATGTTGTTAAGATATTGAATGAGTTGGTTTCTGAATCTCGTGTGAGTTGAATTGGTCGCTAGATGAATCTCGTGTGAGTTGAATTGGTCGCTAGATGAGTTGATGTTGAAAAGAAATTGAATTCCACAATCCGGGGTTGATGTTAATAAAAAATTAACTTTTAGCGAGGAAGTTGGGTTTCATGGATTCGTGTGACGAGTTGATTATTTTAAGAACTCGCTAAGTCGTGTCGAAGTTTCATATTCATAAATTCTCTTGATAACGTGGGAGGCTCGAGAGAATGTTCACCAATTTTTGGCGCGTTGAACTCTGAACAGGTCAACTCGAGGTCAACCGTGCGGACGTAGGCAGAAATATGACTATTATTTATGGACCAATCAGAAAGCATTGTTTCATATTGATTTGAATGGGCTCAGCACAAACTAAGAATACTTAGCTGTGATCCTCTTTTAACAGGTTTAAAACAGAGAATGTAGAAATCTAATTCTACAGGATAACAGCTCGAAACCGGAAATCGAAGTCAGGTTTGTCATATTCACTTATGCGCATGCGTGCCTTTCTCCCTCTGTCTGTCTCTTCATTCAAAAACATGAATAATGTTGTGGATTCCGAGATGAATTCGGTCTCCAATGAAGAACAAACGCAATAATTAAATATAAGAAATAAAATGTATTTACACAATCATACAAAGGGTAATACTGTTAGTAAATCCAGGAACACGGTTAGTAGCAAATACAGATAAATATATACAGTCTCGAAGTAGGACTTCCTTAGAGTCTACGTGCTTGTAACTGACTTCTACAAGAGGCTACCTCACACTATCTCCGTTCGTATATTCTCTCTCTCTTTCCGACTACCCTCACTGACTGTCTAACTCTGGGTATTTAACGGCAGCCGTCCAAGTAACACTGGTAGAGTCCACATATGAAAAAGGGGTGGACCCGATAACAAATAAATGTTCAGTTTTTTTAAATAAATTCCTACAAGCATTTACAAGTGAAACACGCCGGTAGTTGGGATCAAGAATGGCTCGAATTTTTATAGTTATGACCTAATTTACTGCCACTTCCCGCCGTCTCAAACATTTATTGTTAATCGCGGCAATAAAATAATAATGTTCTTTTTTTATTATCAAGTCGTTAAATGAATAGATGAATGTCCTCAGATCAAATTCCGATGATTAATAGTAGGTACCTCCACAAAAACACGATACCCAAGGCTCAAAATGAATTTTTAAAAATTAAAAATCATCAGTATCTGTCTATATTTCTGAGATGAGGTATTATGTACATGATTTACATTATTCGGACTATTGTACTCATCTTTGTTGCCATATTTATTACAACGTTTCGGCCTTTCAGTATCTGTCTATATTTCTGAGATGAGGTATTATGTACACTATTCACATTATTCGGACTATTGTCCTCATCTTTGTTGCCATATTTATTACAACGTTTCAGCCCTTCAGAATCTGTATATTTCTGAGATAAGGTATTATGTACACTATTTACATTATTCGGACTATTGTCCTCATCTTTGTTGCCATATTTATTACAACGTTTCGGCCCTTCAGTATCTGTCTATATTTCTGAGATGAGGTATTATGTACACTATTTACATTATTCGGACTATTGTCCTCATCTTTGTCGCTATATTTATTACAATGTTTCGGCCGTTGTACGCTCCGGCCTTCTTCAGGTGGTTGGAATGTCGAACTGAACCCTTTATTTCGCTTACTGGGGTAGACTGTTCTAGTTCCATGTGCTTATTTTCACTCTCTTTAATCCCTTGTGTGCTAGTGGCACTCCTAATTTTCTTGGGGTGAAATTCTTTAAAAAAATCTATCTATCCGTCAATCTAGGATTTTCATATGTATGTATGTATGTATCTATCTATGATGTTCATATCTATCTATCTAAATGTAATGTCATCATCTTCTGATGCCTTGATTTTGATCACCGACCTCCTCTTTACACTTTCCTTAAACATCCCTATTTTCTCTTACTTTCACTCTCCATAACCCCTGGCTTGATAATGACACTCCTGCTTTCCTTGGGGTGAAATACTCAAGGAAAGAAAATTCATATCTATCTATCTAGGTTTTTCATATCTATCTATCAATCTATCTATCTTTTCCATATCTATCTATCTATCTATCTATCTATCAAAATGTAATGTCATCATCTTCTGATGCCTTTATCTTGTTCCCTGTCCTTCTCTTTAGCCTTTCCTTAAACACCCCTCTTATCTCTTACTTTTACTCTCTGCAACTCCTCTGTATTTACTCTTACCTTCACTCTCTGTAACTCCTCTCTATTTACTCTTACCTTCACTCTCTGTAACCCCTTGCATGCTAGTGGCATTCCTGCCTTGCTTGGGGTAAAATGCTTAAGGAAAATAAATTCATATCTGTCTATCTCAGTCACTTCATTATTTATCCCGATCTCTTCATATCTATCTATCTGTCTATCTCAGTCACTTCATTATTTATCCCGATCTCTTCATATCTATCTGTCTCAGTCACTTCATTATTTATCCCGATCTCTTCATATCTATCTGTCTATCTCAGTCACTTCATTATTTATCCCGATCTCTTCATATCTATCTGTCTATCTCAGTCACTTCATTATTTATCCCGATCTCTTCATATCTATCTATCCGTCTATCTCAGTCACTTCATTATTTGATCTCTTCATATCTATCTGTCTGTCTATCTCAGTCACTTCATTATTTATCCCGATCTCTTCATATCTATCTATCCGTCTATCTCAGTCACTTCATTATTTATCCCGATCTCTTCATATCTATCTATCTGTCTATCTCAGTCACTTCATTATTTATCCCTGATCTCTTCATTATCTATCTATCTGTCTATCTCAGTCTATCTAGTCTTCATTATTTATCCCGATCTCTTCATATCTATCTATCCGTCTATCTCAGTCACTTCATTATTTATCCCGATCTCTTCATATCTATCTATCCGTCTATCTCAGTCACTTCATTATTTATCCTCCTGATCTCTTCATATCTATCTGTCCGTCTACCTCAGTCTTCATTATTTATCCCGATCTCTTCATATCTATCTGTCTATCTCAGTCACTTCATTATTTATCCCGATCTCTTCATATCTATCTATCCGTCTATCTCAGTCACTTCATTATTTATCCCGATCTCTTCATATCTATCTATCTGTCTATCTCAGTCACTTCATTATTTATCCCGATCTCTTCATATCTATCTATCCGTCTATCTCAGTCACTTCATTATTTATCCCGATCTCTTCATATCTATCTGTCTATCTCAGTCACTCTTCATTCATTATTTATCCCGATCTCTTCATTATTTCTTATCTATCTGTCTATCTCAGTCACTTCATTATTTATCGATCTCTTCATATCTATCTATCTGTCTATCTCAGTCACTTCATTATTTATCCTCGATCTCTATTTATCTGTCTATCTCTCATCATTATTTATCCTAGATCTCTTCATTATTTATCCTATCGATCTTTCATATTATTTATTCAGATCTATCTATCTGTCTATCTCAGTCACTTCATTATTTATCCGATCTCTTCTTCTATCTATCTGTCTATCTCAGTCACTTCATTATTTATCCGATCTCTTCATATCTATCTATCTGTCTATCTCAGTCACTTCATTATTTATCTTCCTGATCTCTTCATCATTATCTTATCTATCTGTCTATCTCAGTCACTTCATTATTTATCCCGATCTCTTCATATCTATCTATCTGTCTATCTCAGTCACTTCATTATTTATCCCGATCTCTTCATATCTATCTATCTGTCTATCTCAGTCACTTCATTATTTATCCCGATCTCTTCATATCTATCTGTCTGTCTATCTCAGTCACTTCATTATTTATCCCGATCTCTTCATATCTATCTGTCTATCTCAGTCACTTCATTATTTATCCCGATCTCTTCAGATCTATCTATCTGTCTATCTCAGTCCTTATTTTATCTATCTCTATCTGTCTATCTCAGTCACTTCATTATTTATCCCGATCTCTTCATATCAATCTATCCGTCTATCTCAGTCACTTCATTATTTATCCCGATCTCTTCATATCTATCTGTCTATCTCAGTCACTTCATTATTTTTATCTATCTATCTCTCAGTCATTATTTATCCCGATCATATCTATCTGTCTATCTCAGTCACTTCATTATTTATCCCGATCTCTTCAGATCTATCTATCTGTCTATCTCAGTCACTTCATTATTTATCCCGATCTCTTCATATCTATCTATCTGTCTATCTCAGTCACTTCATTATTTATCCCGATCTCTTCATATCTATCTATCTGTCTATCTCAGTCACTTCATTATTTATCCTGATATCTTCATATCTATCTATCTGTCTATCTCAGTCTTCATTATTTATCCCGATCTCTTCATATCTATCTGTCTATCTCAGTCCTTCATTATTTATCGATCTCTTCATTATCTATCTATCTATCTATCTGTCTATCTCAGTCACTTCATTATTTATCCCGATCTCTTCAGATCTATCTATCTGTCTATCTCAGTCACTTCATTTATTTATCGATCTCTTCATATCTATCTGTCTATCTCAGACGATCTCTTCATTATTTATCCTGATCTCTTCAGATCATTATCTGTCTGTCTATCTCTGTCTTCATTATTTATTATCGATCTCTTCATATCTATCTATCTGTCTATCTCAGTCACTTCATTATTTATCCGATCTCTTCATATCTATCTGTCTATCTCAGACACTTCATTATTTATCCCGATCTCTTCATATCTATCTATCTGTCTATCTCAGTCACTTCATTATTTATCCCGATCTCTTCAGATCTATCTATCCGTCTATCTCAGTCACTTCATTATTTATCCCGATCTCTTCATATCTATCTGTCTATCTCAGTCACTTCATTATTTATCCCGATATCTTCATATCTATCTATCTGTCTATCTCAGTCACTTCATTATTTATCCCGATCTCTTCATATCTATCTGTCTATCTCAGTCACTTCATTATTTATCTATCTATCTCATATCTATCTGTCTATCTCAGTCCTTCATTATTTATCGATCTCTTCATATCTATCTGTCTATCTAGTCACTTCATTATTTATCGATCTCTTCATATCTATCTTCTGTCTATCTCAGTCTTCATTATTTATCGATCTCTTCAGATCTATCTATCTGTCTATCTCAGTCACTTCATTATTTATCCTTCAGATCTCTTCATATCTATCTGTCTATCTCAGTCATTATTCATCCTGATCTCTTCATATCTATCTGCCTATCTCAGTCATCTCTTCATTATTTATCTGATCTCTTCATATCTATCTATCTGTCTATCTTCATTATATCTTCATCTATCACTTCATTATTCGATCTCTTCAGATCTATCTGTCTGTCTATCTCAGTCACTTCATTATTTATCTGGATCTCTTCATATCTATCTATCTGTCTATCTCAGTCACTTCATTGTTCATATCTATCTATCGATCTCTTCCTTCATTATTTATCTGTCTATCTCTAGTCATTATTTATCTCTCGTCTTCATTATTTATCCCGATCTCTTCATATCTATCTATCTGTCTATCTCAGTCCTTCATTATTTATCCCGATCTCTTCATATCTATCTGTCTATCTCAGTCACTTCATTATTTATCCCGATCTCTTCATATCTATCTGTCTGTCTATCTCAGTCACTTCATTATTTATCCCGATCTCTTCAGATCTATCTGTCTATCTCAGTCACTTCATTATTTATCCCGATCTCTTCATATCTATCTATCTGTCTATCTCAGTCACTTCATTATTTATCCCGATCTCTTCATATCTATCTGTCTATCTCAGTCACTTCATTATTTATCCCGATCTCTTCAGATCTATCTGTCTATCTCAGTCACTTCATTATTTTTATCCGATCTCTTCATATCTATCTATCTGTCTATCTATCTCAGTCCTTCATTATTTATCCCGATCTCTTCATCTATCTATCTGTCTATCTCAGTCAGTCTTCATTATTTATCTATCTATCTATCTGTCTATCTCAGTCATCATTATTTATCTTCTCTTCAGATCTATCTATCTGTCTATCTCAGTCACTTCATTATTTATCTATCTCTTCATCTATCTATCTGTCTATCTAGTCACTTCATTATTTATCTCTGATCTCTTCTATTATCTATCTACCTGCCTATCTCAGTCACTTCATTATTTATATCGATCTATCTTCTGATCTATCTGTCTCTCTCTATCATCTGTCTATCTTCACTTCATTATTTATCCCGATCTCTTCATATCTATCTGTCTATCTCAGTCACTTCATTATTTATCCTGATCTCTTCATATCTATCTATCTGTCTATCTCAGTCACTTCATTATTTATCTGATCTCTTCATATCTATCTATCTATCTATCTATCCGTCTATCTCAGTCACTTCAACATTTATCTATCTGTCTGATCTCTTCATATCTATCTGTCTATCTATCTCCAGTCACTTCATTATTTATCCCGATCTCTTCAAATCTATCTGTCTATCTCAGTCACTTCATTATTTATCCGATCTCTTCATAATCTATCTGTCTATCTCTAGTCACTTCATTATCTATCTGTCTATCGATCCTCTTATCTATCTATCTGTCTATCTCAGTCACTTCATTATTTATTTTCTGATCTCTTCATATCTATCTATCTATCTGTCTATCTCAGTCACTTCATTATTTATATCGATCTCTTCATATCTATCTATCTGTCTATCTCAGTCTTCATTATTTATCCGATCTCTTCAGATCTATCTATCTGTCTATCTCAGTCACTTCATTATTTCTCCTGATCTCTTCATGTCATCTGTCTATCTCAGTCATCTTCGTTATTTATCGATCTCTTCAGATCTATCTGTCTATCTCAGTCACTTTCATTATTTATCGATCTCTTCAGATCTATCTATCTGTCTATCTTAGTCACTTCATTATTTATCGATCTCTTCAGATCTATCTGTCTATCTCTCATCGTGATCTCTTCCTATCTTATTTATCCTGATCTCTTCAGATCTATCTATCTGCCTATCTCAGGATCTATCTGTCTATCTCAGATCATTTGTCATCTAGTCACTTCCATTATTTTATCCTGATCTTCATATATCTATCTGTCTATCTCAGTCACTTCATTATTTATCCCCGATCTCTTCATATCTATCTATCCGTCTATCTCAGTCACTTCATTATTTATCCTGATCTCTTCATATCTATCTGTCTGTCTATCTCAGTCATCTATCCGTCGATCTCTTCATATCTATCTATCTGTCTATCTTCATTCACTTCATTATTTATCAAATCTATCTCTTCAGTTTTATCTGTCTATCTAATCTCAGTCACTTCATTATTTATCCTGATCTCTTCATATCTGTCTATCTATCTATTTATCATCTATATCTATCTGTCTATCTCAGTCACTTCATTATTTATCCCGATCTCTTCAGATCTTTCTATCTATCTATCCGTCTATCTCAGTTCTTCATTATTTATCCTGATCTCTTCATATCTATCTGTCTATCTCATTTTCATTATTTATTGATCTGTCAATCTATCTATCTGCCTATCTCAGTCACTTCATTATTTATCCTGATCTCTTCAGATCTATCTGTCTATTCAGTCACTTCATTATTTATCCTGATCTCTTCATATCTATCTATCGTCTATCTCAGTCACTTCATTATTTATCCTGATATCTTTATCTATCTATCTATCTGTCTATCTCAGTCACTTCATTATTTATCGATCTCTTCATATCTATCTGTCTCAGTCACTTCATTATTTATCGATCTCTTCATATCTATCTGTCTATCTAGTCACTTCATTAATCTCTTCAGATCTATCTGTCTATCTCAGTACTTCATTATTTATCCGATCTCTTCATATCTATCTGTCTATCTCAGACACTTCATTATTTATCCCGATCTCTTCAGATCTATCTGTCTGTCTATCTCAGTCACTTCATTATTTATCTCGATCTCTTCATATCTATCTGTCTATCTCAGACACTTCATTATTTATCCCAATCTCTTCATTATCTATCTATCTGTCTTCTCAGTCTTCATTATTTATCGAAATCTATCCGTCTATCTCAGTCACTTCATTATTTTTGTCGATCTCTTCTACATCTGTCTATCTGTCTATCTCAGTCACTTCATTATTTATCCGGATCTCTTTATCTATCTATCTGTCTATCTCAGTCCTTCATTATTTATCCTGATCTCTTCATATCTATCTGTCTATCTCTCAGTCTTCATTATTTATCCTGATCTCTTATCTATCTATCTGTCTATCTCAGTCACTTCATTATTTATCCCGATCTCTTCTATCTATCTATCTGTCTATCTCAGTCACTTCATTATTTATCCTGATCTCTTCATATCTATCTGTCTATCTCATACTTCATTATTCATCCTGATCTTCTTCTATCTATCTATCTGTCTATCTCTATTTCAATGGTCCTGATCTCTTCTTATCCATCTGTCTGTCTCAGTCACTTCATTATTTTATAGATTCTGTCTATCTCAAAATCCGATCTCTTCATCTATCTATCTGTCTATCTCAGTCACTTCATTGTTTATCTGATCCTTCAGATCTATCTGTCTATCTCAAAATTTAGATCTCTCTTCATATCTATCTATCTGTAGGGATCAGTCCTTCCATTATTTATAAAAAATATCTGTTGTCTATCTCAGTCCTTCATTATTTATCCTATCTCTTTAGAAAACAACTTATTATTTATGGATTTCCGTATTTATAGTCAATTAAAATATGGATCTATCTGGATCCATCCGTGTTTTTACAAAAAAATATCTATCACTCTATCTATTTATCTATTTATGTCCGTATTTTATCTATCTATCTGTTCATATCAGTGTTATCTATCTCCAGTCTGATTGATCTATCTATATCTCTATCTATCTGTCTGTCTCAGTCATCCTTATTTTTATCTCCAAAAAAATCTTCTGTCTATATCTATCTATCTGTCTATCTCAGTCACTTTTAAAATTATTTATCCGATCTCTTCAATCTAATCTATGTCTGTCTCATCTTCATTATTTATCCGTCTCTTCATATCTATCTATCTGTCTAAATCACTTCATTGTTGATATCTTTATCTATCTGTCTCTCAGTCTTCCATTGTTTATCTATCTATCTATCTTTATCTCAGTCCTTCATTATCTATATCCTGATCTCTTGCGATCTTCTATCTGTCTATCTCAGTCATCTCTTCATTATTTATCTCAGTTTATCCCGATCTCTTTATCTATCTATCTGTCTATCTCAGTCCTTCATTATTTAATCTCTTCATATCTATCTATCTGTCTATCAGTCACTTCATTAATCCTCGATCTGTTTATCTATCTATCTATCCGTCTATCTCAGTCACTTCATATTTATTGTCGATCTCTTCATTCTATCTGTCTATCTATCTCAGTCCTTCATTTATTTATAATCTCTTCAAATCTATCTGTCTATCTCAGTCACTTCATTATTTATCGATCTCTTCATCTATCTATCTGTCTCAGTCACTTTTATTTATCCTGATTTTCTTATCTATCTATCTATCTAAAGTCCTTCATTATTTATCGATCTCTTTATCTATCTATCTGTCTATCTCAGTCACTTCATTATTTATTTTATCGATCTTTCAGATCTATCTATCTGTCTAAATTATTTATCCGATCTCTTCAGATCTATCTGTCTATCTCAGTCATTATTTATTATTTATCCGATCTCTTCAGATCTATCTGTCTATCTCAGTCACTTCTATTGTTATCCTGATCTCTTCAGATCTATCTATCTGTCTATCTGTCACTTCATTATTTATCCCGATCTCTTCATTATCTATTAAGATCTATCATTATCCAATATCTCTTCTATCTATCTTAGTCACTTCATTATTTATTCTTTCTATCTATCTGTCTATCTCAGTCTTCATTATTTATCCGATCTTCAGATCTATCTGTCTATCTCAGTCACTTCATTAAATCCTGATCATCTTCTGATCTATCTATCTGCCTAAGTCATCATTATTTATCTGGTTTTTCTATCTCAGTCACTTCATTATTTATCCGAATATCTATCTGTCTATCTCAACTTCATTATTTATCCTGATCTCTTCTTATCTATCTATCCGTCTATCTCCATCACTTCGTCGATATTTATCTCTAGTCTGGATCTATCTATCTTCATATCTATCTATCTATCCAGTCTATCTCAGTCACTTCAACGATTTAATCTCTTCATATCTATCTATCTATCTATCTCAGTCACTTCATTATTTATCCTGATCTCTTCAAATCTATCTGTCTATCTCAGTCACTTCATTATTTATCCGATCTCTTATCTATCTGTCTATCTCAGTCACTTCATTATTTATCCTGATCTCTATCTATCTATCTGTCTATCTCAGTCACTTCATTATTTATCCTTCATATCTATCTATCTGTCTATCTCACATCTATCTATCTGTCTATCTCAGTCACTTCATTATTTTCCTGTTCTCTATCTATCTATCTATCTGTTATCTCAGTCGACTTCTCAATCCTCTCTTTGATTCAATCTGTCTGTCTATCTTCAGTTCTTCATTTATCCTGATCTCTTCAGGATCTATCTATCTGTCTATCTCACTTCATTATTTATCTATCTCTTCTATATCATTCTAATATCTTCAGTCTCTCTTCTATCTATCTATCTAATCAGTCACTTCATTTGTTATCGATCTCTTATTTATCTATCTATCTATATCTATCTATCTGTCTATTCATTATTGTCGAATCTATCCGTCTATCTCAGTCAGTCTTCATTATTTAGATCTATCTGTCTATCTCAGTCACTTCATTATTTATCCTGATCTATCTGTCTGTCTATCTCAGTCACTTCATTATTTATCCCGATCTCTTCAGATTCATCTGTCTATCTCAGTCTTCATTATTTGTCGATCTCTTCTATCTATCTGTCTATCTATCTATCTATCTCAGTCATCTCTTCATTATCTATTTGTCGATCTCTTCAAATCTATCTGTCTATCTCAGTTCATTATTTATCTCACTATTTATCTGATCTATATCTATCTGTCTATTCATTATTTATCGATCTCTTCATATCTATCTATCTGTCTATCTCAGTCACTTCATTATTTATCGATCTCTTTTAATCTATCTATCTATCTCAGTCCTTCATTATTTTGAATCTATCTATCTATCTGTCTATCTCAGTCACTTCATTATTTATCCCGATCTTATCTATCTGTCTCTCAGTCCTTCATTATTTATCGATCTCTTCTATCTATCTGTCTATCTCAGTCACTTCATTATTTATCGATCTCTTCAGATCTATCTGTCTATCTCAGTCCTTATTATTTATCTATCTATCTATCTCTTCATTATTTAGATCTATCTATCTGTCTATCTCAGTCACTTCATTATTTATCTATCTATCTGTCTATCTCTCTTCATCTGATCTATCTATCTATCTATCTGTCTATCTCAGTCACTTCAATCCTGATCTCTTCATATCTATCTGTCTATCTCAGTCACTTCATTATTTATCGATCTCTTGGGGGATCTATCTGTCTATCTCAGTCACTTCATTATTTATCCTGATCTCTTCATCTATCTGTCTATCTCAGTCCTTCATTATTTATCCGGATATCTTCAGAGTCTTCAATTTTCTGTCTGTCCTCTATTATTTATCGATATCTATCTTCCTTCATTATTTATCTAATCTATCTGTCTATCTCAGTCACTTCATTATTTATCCCTGATCTCTTCATATCTATCTGTCTATCTCAGTCACTTCATTAAACAATAATCTATCTATCTCAGTCACTTATTATTTATAATTTCTATCTATCTGTCTGTCTATCTCAATTATTTAGGCACTCTATATCTATCTGTAATGGATCCTGATCTCTTCTCGGATCTCTATCAGTCACTTCATTATTTATCCCAGATCTCTCTTCGTATCTATCTATCTGTCTATCTCAGTCACTTCATTATTTATCCTGATCTTCATATCTATCTATCTATCTATTCAGTCCTTCATTATTTATCCCGATCTCTTCATATCTATCTGTCTATTCAGTCACTTCATTGTTTATCCTGATCTCTTCATATCTATCTATCTGTCTATCTAGTCCTTCTATTATTTATGGATCTCTTATCTATCTATCTGTCTATCTCAGTCACTTCCATTATATCTTCTATCTCTCACTTCATTATTTATCGATATTATCTATCTGTCTATCTCACTTCACTAAATCTCTTCATATCTATCAATTTATTATAATTTATCTAATCAAATTCTTCTATCTATCTATATCTATCTATCTCTTCTCATCTATCTATCTCAGTCACTTCATTATTTATCGATCTCTTCATCTATCTGGTCTCTTCATATCCTATCTCTTCTATCTATCTGTCTATCTCAGTCACTTCATTATTTATCCCAATCTCTTCATATCTATCTATCTGTCTATCTCAATCATCTATCTTTATCGTCTATCTCTTCTTATCTATCTGTCTATCTCAGTCACTTCATTATTTATCCATCTTCATATCTATATCTGTCTATCTATCACTTCATTATTTATATTTATATATCTCTTCAGTCCTTCATTATCTATCTATCTGTCTATCTCAGTCCTTCATTATTTATCCTGATCTCTTCAGATCTATCTGTCGTCTATCTCAGTTATCTTCATTATTTATCTGTCTATCTATCATATCTATCTGTCTATCTCAGTCCTTCATTATTTATTTGATATCTTCACATCTATCTATCAGTCCTTCATTATTTATCCTGATCTTCATCTATCTATCTATCTCAGTAAAAATTTATCCCGATCTCTTCATATCTGTCTATCTATCTGTCATTGTTTTATAGTCACTCTATCTGTCTATTCTAAGTCTCTTCATATCTATCTATCTGTCTATCTCAGTCTATCTTCATTATTTATCCTGATCTCTTCAGATCTATCTATCTGTCTAGGTCCTTCATTATTTAGATCTCTTTCATATCTATCTGTCTATCTCATCTTCATCTATTTATCCTGATCTCTTCATATCTATCTATCTGTCTCTATCCTAGTCTCATTCATTATTTATCCTGATCTCTTCTATCTATCTGTCCTTTATCATTATTGGATCTATTCAGATCTATCTGTCTATCTCAGTCCTTCATTATTTATCCCTGATCTCTTCATATCTATCTGTCTATCTCAGTTTCAGTCATTATTTTATCCTGATCTCTTCAGAATCAAAATTCATTATTTATCCTGATCTCTTCATATCTATCTGTCTATCTCAGTCACTTCATTATTTATCCCGATCTCTTCATATATCTATCTGTCTATCTCATCTATCTTCATTATTTATCCTGATCTCTTCATATCTATCTGTCTATCTCAGTCGTATCTTCATTATTTATTGATATTTTCTGATCTATCTATCTATCTGTCTATCTCAGTCCTTCATTATTTATCCGATCTCTCTTCATATTCTATATCTATCTTCAATCTTCATTATTCATCCTGATCATCTATCCGAGATCTATCTATCTATCTCAGTCACTTATTATTTATCCCGATCTTCATTATTTATCTATCTGTCTGTCTATCTCAGTCTATCTTCATTATTTATCCTGATCTCTTCAGATCTATCTGTCTGTCTATCTCAGTCACTTCATTATTTATATTTATCTATCTATCTATCTATCTCAGTCTATCGGATATCTATCTATCTGTCTATCTCAGTCACTTCATTATTTATCCCTGATCTATCTTCAATCTTCATTCAAATCAGTCTATCTTCATTATTTATCCTGATCTTTATCTATCTATCTATCTATCTCAGTCCCTTCATTATTTATCCTGAATCTTCATATCTGTCTATCTCAGTCACTATGAACATATTATGTTGATCTATGGATCTATCTGTCTATCTCAGTCACTTCATTATTTGGGGATCTCTTCATATCTATCTGTCTGTCTAGTTCTATCTATATTTATCGATCTCTCCATCTATCTATCATCTATCTGTCTATCTCTATCTTATCCTGTCACTACTATCATTATTTACCCGATCTCTTCAGTCACTTTACTATTTATCTATCATCTATCTATCTGTCTATCTCAGTCACTTCATTATTTGAGATCTCTTCATATCTTCTATCAGTCTTCATTATTTATCCCATATCTATCTGTCTATCTCTAGCCATCAGCCATTTATCCCGATCTCTTCATATTCTGTCTATTCAGTCACTTCATTAATCCTGGATCTTCATATCTATCTGTCTGTCTAACATTATTTAATCTCTTTATCTATCTGTCTGTCTATCTCAGTCACTTCATTATTTAATCTCTTCATATCTATCTATCTGTCTATCTCAGTCACTTCATTATTTATCCCGATCTCTTCATATCTATCTATCCTATCTATCAGTCCTTCATTATTTATCCTGATCTCCAGTCTTCTTATCTATCTCATCTGTCTATCTCAGTCACTTCATTATTTTCGATCTCTTCAGATCTATCTGTCTATCTTCAGATCCATCTATCTCAGTCTATCTCAGTCATCTTCATCTATTGTTGTCGATCTCTTTCATATCTATCTATCTGTCCTCAGTCACTTCATTATTTATCGATCTCTTCATATCTATCTATCTGTCTATCAGTCACTTCATTATTTATCCCGATCTCTTCATATCAATCTATCTGTCTATCTCAGTCACTTCATTATTATTTATCCATCCGATCTCTTCATTTATTTGTTTATCCGCTTCTATCTCAGTCTATCTCAGTCACTTCATTATTTATCCTGATCTCTTCATCTATCTATCTGTCACTTCATTATTTATCCTGATCTCTTCATATCTATCTGTCTGTCTATCTCAGTCACTTCATTATTTATCGATCTCTTCAGATCTATCTGTCTATCTCAACTTCATTATTTATCGATCTTTGCATTCATTTATCTGATCTCTTCAGATCTATCTGTCTATCTCTAGTCCTTCATTATTTATCCTGATCTCTTCATATCTATCCTGTCTATCTCAGTCACTTCATTATTTATCCCATCTCTTCATATCTATCTATCATTATCTTCAGAATCTTATCCTGAGTCCTATTCATCCTATCATCTATCTAGTCTATCCAGATCTCTTCATATCTATCTATCTTTTATCTCATTCATTATTTATCCCGATCTCTTCAGATCTATCTATCATCAGTACTCTTCTTTTCATCTCTTTCTTCTTTATCTGTCTATCTCAGTCACTTCATTATTTATCATCTGATCTATCTGTCTATCTCAGTCCTTCATTATTTGTCTATCTGTCAAGTCAAATTATTTATCCCGATCTTCATATCTATCTGTCTGTCTATTTATTATTTAGATGTCTATCTTCTATCTCAGTCATTATTTATCCTGATCTCTTCATATCTATCTGTCTATCTCAGTCAGTCTTCATTATTGATGTTGATCTCTTCATAAACAATTTATTATTTAATTTATTCATAATATCTAATCAATATTATCCAGATCTTACATATCACTATTTATCGATCTGATTATTTATCCTGATCTCAGATCATCTGTCTAGTCACTTCCGCTCGTCTTCAGATTCCTTATCTGTCATTATTTATCTGATCTCTTCATATCTATCTATCTGTCTATCTCAGTCACTTCATTATTTAGATAGATCTCTTCATATCTATCTGTCTATCTGTCTATCTCAGTCTCTTCAGATTATTTATCCTGATCTCTTCATTTATCTATCATCTGTCTATCTCAGTCACTTCATTATTTATCCAGTGATCTATTATTTATCGATATCTTATATCTATCTATCTATCTCAGTCACTTCATTATTTATCCTGATCTCTTCATATCTATCTATCTGTCTATCTCACTCTTTAGTCCTTCATATTATCTATCTGATCTCTTCATATCTAATCTGTCAGCTCTATCTCAGTCACTTCATTATTTTCCCGATATATCTAATCTTATATCTATCTGTCTATCTCGGTCACTTCTTTTATTTGATCCCATCTAAATTATTTATCCTGATCTCTTCAGATCTACTTCATTATCTATCTCAGTCATCTTCATTATTTTGATCTCTTCTTATTTATCCTGATCATTATTTATCCGATCCGATCTGTCTGGTACTGAATTTTCCTGATCTAAATTATTATATATATATATATCTATCCTTCATTATTTATCTGATCATGTCGTCTATCTCAGTCACTTCATTATTTATCCGATCTCTTCAGTTCTAATCTGTTCTCAGTCCATATCTATCATCCATTCGATCTCTTCATTCTATCTGTCTCGTCTAAATCTCAGTCACCTTCATTATTTATCCTGATCTTCTTCATATCATTATTTATCTGGATGTTGTCATCTCAGTCTTCATTATTTTTATCCTGATTTTCATATCTATATCCGTCTATCTCAGTCACTTCATTATTTATCCCGATCTCTTCATATCTATCTGTCTGTCTATCTCAGTCACTTCATTATTTATCCTGATCTCTTCTTCATATCTGTCTGTCTGTCTTCATTATTTATCCTGATCTCATTATTTATATCAATTATTAATTCAGATCTCTTCATATTTATCTGTCATATCTATCTATGTCTATCTCAGTCACTTCATTATTTTTATCTCTTCATATCTTCATATCTATCTATCCTTCAGCCTATTTTATCCCAGTCATATCTTGTCTGTTATCTCAGTCACTCCATTTATCTCTCATTATTTTCATATCTATCTATCTCTGTCTATCTCAGTCAAATTACTTTTATCCTGATCTTCGATCTATCTTCTGTCTATCTCATCTTCATTATTCTATCTATATCTATCTCTGTCTATCTTCACTTATTTATCCCTGATATCTATCAGATCTCAGTCATCATTATTTATCTGATCTCTTCATCTATCTATCTGTCTATCTATCTCAGTCATCTCTTCATTATTTATCCCGATCTCTTCAGATCTCTTCTTATCTATCTGTCTATCTCAGTCACTTCATTATTTATCCCGATCTCTTCATATCTATCTGTCTATCTCAGTCACTTCATTATTTATCCCGATCTCTTCACATCTATCTGTCTATCTGTTTATTCCGATCTCTTCAGATCTGTATCTATCTGTCTATCTCTAGTCTTCACTTTAGATCTCTTCATATCTATCTGTCTATTTCAGTCTCTTCATTATTCTCCGATCTATCTGTCTATCTGTCAGTCTATCTTCATTATTTATCCCGATCTTCATTCTATCTATCTGTCTATCTCAGTCACTTCATTATTTATTCTTCATATATCTGATCTCTTCAGATTCATCTATCCGTCTATCTATCTCAGTCATCTTCACTTATTTATCCTGATCTCTTCATGATCTCTTCTATCTATCTGTCTATATCAGTTACTTCATTATTTATCCTGTGATCTCTTCAGATCTATCTATCTGTCTATCTCAGTCACTTCATTATTTATTCATCCTGATCTCAGTCTTCATTATTTAGATCTCTTCTATCTATCTGTCTATCTCAGTCACTTCATTATTTATCCCGATCTCTTCAGATCTATCTATCTGTCTATCTCAGTCTGATCTTCATTATTTATCCGATCTCTTCAGATCTATCTATCTGTCTGTCTATCTCATCTATCATCTTCATTATTTTCCTGATCTCTTGTCTATCGATCTCTTCAGATCTATCTATCTGTCTATCTCAGTCACTTCATTTATTTATCCCGATCTCTTCATATCTATCTATCTGTCTATCTCAATCTTCATTATTTTATCTCTTAATCCATATCTCTTCATATCTATCTAAATGCAATGTCATTATTATCCTGATCCCAGATTATCTATCTGTCTTCATCCTTTTATTTATCCTGATCCTTTCTCTTTGTCTATCTCAGTCACTTCATTATTTTCCCGAAACTATCTATCTCTCTTTTCACTCTTCTCTTCAGATCTCTATCTGTCTAACAGTCCCATTATTTGCGTGCTAGTGTCTCAGTCTCCCACCATTATTTTGATCTCTTCCCATCTATCTAAATGCAATTCATTATATTCTGATGCCTTAATCTTTGATCCCCATCCTTCTAGCTCTTCAAAACTTTACTTTCACTCTCTGTAAAATACTTATTTCAAAAAAAGCAAAATACTTATTTCAAAAAGTAATTTAGTAATTTTAAATTGAAAGGAGTTTTCCTTTTCAAATCACTAAACATCGCTTATTTTAGCACCATTTTTAGTTGTCTATCATCACAATGCACAATAAGGTAAGAACGATCGCTTACTGACCATGAAACTATGGTTCGAATCTCACCATGGTCGATTTGCTAGCAGGAAGTCACAGGTCATCGTGACCGAGTTTTTGAGCGTACTGTTAAGGTTGCTGATCACGCGCACTCTCCCAGAAACTGTCACTGTAAATAAGGTCTGCTCAGTATAGTTGCAGTATGTTGAATAAACAAACGTGCCTGAGCAGCCGTCTGCAACGGGGATTAGCTAGCCGCCCTAGTAGACAGGCATCACGTAATTCTCTTTATTACAAAATCTGTCAAATATTTTATCTGAAACTGTATTTGGATGAATATTAGCTGATTTAAAGTTTTTATTAATCAAAGTGGTATGGTTGTCATGTACTTTTAGTTTAAAATATCGTAGAAATGCATTTAACAAAGAGGTAGTTGTTTAAGATGTTGACACCTTGACTGACAAATGCAAGTTTAATTTTTTTTTCTATTGAAAACGTCTGTAAAAATTACTTTATATAAAGGTGAGCACATTTTTCATATAATTTTTAACTCTCCAATAATTTTTAAAAAATTTAAGAAAATATTCCCGTAATCTAATGTTTTATTGAATTTTAGATACTTTGGCTTTAAATTTACTATAGTTATTGTTCTTATTTCCTGATAATGGATGTCCGTATTTACGAAAACAATATGGTATGAATGTCCGTATTTTAAAAAGATATGGTATAGATGTCCGTATTTACAAAAAATATGGTAGGGATGTCCGTATTTATAAAAAATATGGTAGGGATGTCCGTATTTATAAAAAAATATGGTAGGGATGTCCGTATTTTAAAAAAATATGGTAGGGATGTCCGTATTTTAAAAAAATATGGTAGGGATGTCCGTATTTATAAAAACAATATGGTATGGATGTCCGTATTTACAAAAAATATGGTATGGATGTCCGTATTTACAAAAAAATATGGTATGGATGTCCGTATTTACAAAAATCGACACACTTATGCGCATACACGCGCACACAACCATATACAAAAGAAAATATTGAAATTCTTAAAAATGTTGGGGTTCGCCAAATCGTAATAAGCTTTTCCATTTATGACTAGTAAATATCGAAATTTGAAAGATTTACAACTTTATAAATTAAAACTTTTAAAAGAATGAAAACAATTCTTGTAAAAATTCATTATTCATCTAAAAAATGTTTTAAAGACAATAGTGCCCATAATGTTATTGATAAAAGTAATTAAAACCTTTTTCTAATTAAAGAATGTCTCAGTTTTATTGTATTTTTTATTTTATAATTCAAAGTAAATTTTCGGTAACCGTAGGTCCTGTTTTACAAAAAAAGTAATCGATGATTTAAATTCTCCAAGGACTTCTGCATATAATTAATATAAGCATTAAGCGATACAAAAAATCATTTTCTCGGAATTTAATAATTAAATAAGTGTGTGGCATGGTAACATGCAAAAAAATGTTTTTTTTTGTTTTTGTTTTTTTTGCTAGGATTATCCGAAAAAGAAAGATTCAAAAATTAATTTAATTCATTTGCGAATAAGTCCTCGAAGTTTCATTAAAATTCGACTGTTTGATTTTTGCAAGAATTTCAAAATCAACCTGTTTTATACCGAAGAAAAAAAGAAACGCAAAAATTTACTATGCTAATTTATAGTCCACCCTTTGATTTAAGATTTTTAACCAAGATTTCGAAAATTCTAAAAAGCATCAAAAAATATAATTTAATAAATTCAAAAAATCCTTCCCTCTTAATAACAACAAAGATTTAGACCAATGATGCCCCCCCCCCACTTTAATATTTAATTCTTACATGTATGTCAATTACGTATGTAGGTACATACACACAAAATATTTTTATGCACGGTGGAGTAATGGATAGCGGCTCGGATTGAGAAATCGGAGAGCCGAGTTCGAATTCCAGTTGAATCCATTACATTCACTTCCGTGCTAATATCCTTGGGAAAGGTATGAATCCTCTTCTTCTCTCCTGATTTATTTATTAACACAAACAAAACAATTTATTATAATTTATAATAAAAAGGAGGCACGGATTGTGGAGTAATGGATAGCCGCTCGGATTGGGGAATCAGAGAGCCGAGTTCGAATTCAGTCGAATCCATTACATTTACTTACGTGCTAATACCCTTGGGAAAGGTATGAATCCTCTTCTTCTCTCCTGATTTATTTATTAACACAAACAAAACAATTTATTATAATTTATAATAAAAAAGGAGGCACGGTGGAGTAATGGATGGCCGCTCGGATTGAGGAATCAGAGAGCCGAGTTCGAATTCCAGTTGAATCGATACGTGCTAATACGCTTGGGTATGAATCTCTTCTTCCCTGCGTATAATTAATATAATCATTAAGTGATACAAAAATCATTTATTTACCCATACCCGGATTCTATAGCAACTGGTCTACTGCCAATGGAAAAATGGTAATGGAAAAAAAATCTACCTCGTCAGTCCTGTATCGAAAGATACATGATCGCCTAAGCGTGTATCACATGACTGACTGTATTTGCATCGTACGAATTAACATAAAAGACTCTTGCTCAGACTCACTAGAAAACAATTCACTCATAACTCGAATTGCCCCCTTTATTCTGTTGGTAGAGTAAGCTGACGTATGCCCCACAGGTGGGGCCTGCGTCCCACGTTGGGAATCATTTAGACGAGGAAACTGTTTTTATTAAGTGTGGAGCATTTTTCGTCATGTATGCTCAATTTTCAGCGAATCTTTGGAGGTATCTACTTAATCATTATTTTATGAATATTTCTCATGAGAGAATATATTCTGGTTTAAAACATTTTCGATAAGCGCCATTTTTCTTATATCTGCCCACAGTACTCCCTCCTCTCTCTCTCATATATATATATATATATATATATATATATAGAGAGAGAGAGAGAGGGAGGGAGAGAGAGAGAATTCTCACAGCCTGCAATTAATTTTCTTCTCCACTCTTTCCGTCAGCCGATGACGTTATCGACATCAAGGAGCGCCTCGAACTTCCCAATTTTCACTTAAATCGCAATGTCGTTTGCTTCGGTGTGATATTTAGTTCATTTTATTTATTTTTTTTTTTTTTTCAGTCTTTGTTTTCACTAAAATTAACTAAAATGAGTTAATGAAGCTACACACTTTCTAACTGGCCTGTTTACGGCACCCACAATTTGATTCGTCTGACATTCTCACACAAAATGGCCTTGAAAACTTGACCCTGGTTCGTGAGAAACGGCCTGTGTGATTTTAGTTCATATTTGTTTTTTTTTTCGGCAAAAAAAAACATTCTACATGTACATTTTGCGTTTTTCCCAATTTTTTTGTAACGTGGTACGCATTTAACAAGTGTCTACACAAACTAATATATATATATATATATATATATATATATATATATATATATATATTAGACATACACACACACTTTCTGAAGTACCCATTTGCACCAGAGCGTAGATCATTATCGCCATATAGGAGCAAATTTCGCAGTAGAGTAGGTGTAAAAAGCAATGTGTTGTGAAAATAAAGATATTCGCCCTGGGAAAGTAGAGAGACTGTAGACCCACAAACCTTCCGACTACGAAGGTCATTAAGTAAATTGTAAATGTTATGAGAGCAGGACGATTCCATAATACTGGCGATCTGCTAAGATGTCAAATTTGATTTTTTTTACGGTTTACCAACCCGTTGTGTTATTTAAAATTATAACGCATTTCAGGTTATATTAGCTTACTTACATCACGCGGGGTTCCGAAGGGTGTCCCCTATCGAAGTACTCAGCGGATTCGACGCTGATTAACTTCGGAGATCGAACGAGAACCGATGTTTTCGGCGTTGTTAAATACAGGTTGTCCCTAAAAAAAAACTGACATCATTTTGTAGTCTAACAACATAGCCAGTTCTCGCTCAAATGATCTCAAATTTTAACAAAGTGTATAATAACTAAGTTGATTGTGTAGAAGTCAAATGACTTACCTTCTAACATGGCTGCCTCCTTGTGTCCCCTTGTAAAGGCAGGCCAGCTAATCTACCTCATTTATAGGAGAGTACCTAATACAGTAGGTGGCTTAGTACACTTTACTAACGGACTTATGTCAGTGGGAAGATGAATCGAGCGTGCCAGTGGTAATGACAATGTGCTGTTGAAATGGTCATCACGTTCACCTGACTTGTGATTTTTTTCTCTATATCCCCATCTTCCTATAAGCCTAGAAGAACTTAAGCAGAGAATCACTGGGGCGCTGGAGAATGTTACGCAAGACATGCTACTGCGTGTTTGGCAGGAGTTGGACTACCGACTTGACGTGTGTCGTTTCTCAGGCGGTGCGCATATTAAATATTTGTGAAGCTTTGTGAAATCGGTTATAAAATTTACACCCCGTTGAATATCTTGTCTGAATTTCCGGTATGAGAAGTTGCCACTATTTGCACTGTTTATATTCAGACTATTGTCCTCATCTTTGTTGTTGTTATCACAAGATTTTGGCTATTGCGCTCGATCTGGCTAACCTGGTGTGAATTCTGAACTGAACACTTT